ACAAGTCATAAAGTAAGTTGTAATAAAAATGGTAAGACAAGTTATAATACAAGTTATAATACAAGTTATAATACAAGTTATAATACAAGTTATAAGACAAGTTATAATACAAGTTATAATACAAGTTATAATATAAGTTATAAGACAAGTTATAAGACAAGTTATAATACAAGTTATAATACAAGTTATAAGACAAGTTATAAGACAAATTATAAGACAAGTTATAAGACAAGTTATAATACAAGTTATAATACAAGTTATAATACAAGTTATAATACAAGTTATAATACAAGTTATAATACAAGTTATAATACAAGTTATAATACAAGTTATAATACAAGTTATAATACAAGTTATAATACAAATGATAATACAAGTTATAATACAAGTTATAATACACATGCTTGTACATCAAGTACTCGGTAACCCTTACAATACAATCACATATTCCCTTACCTTCCTCGATAATTTCCCCAGTTCCTGTTCCTCATCACTTCTCCTTTCCTCCAACTTACCCTCCAAACCTATCCAAACTCCTTGTACCCCACCCCCATTATCAGCTTACGCGCATTGAAATTCAACCTTGAAACCATTGACTTACCCATTACAAACATTGACTTTATTCTTTACAAACATTGACTTTACCCTTTACAAACATTGATTTTACTCTTTACAAACATTTACTTTATCATTTACAGACATTGACTTTACCCTTTACAGACATTGACTTTGCCTTTTACAAACATTGACTTTACGCTTTACAAACATTGCCTTTACACTTTACAAACATTGACTTTACCCTTTACAAACATTGACTTTACCCTTTACAAACATTGCCTTTACACTTTACAAACATTGACTTTACCCTTTACAAACATTGGCTTTACCCTTTACAAATATTGACTGGACCCTTTACAAACCTTGACCTAACATATCGCAAACGTCGACTTTACACATCCCCAAAGCGCTTGCTCTTAGACTGACGTGAAATGACATCATTTTGCCTACTTTTCGTATGTTCCCCTGCCCAAACACACCCCACCCCACCTACCCACACACACACCCCCCCCCACCCCCCCCCCCCCCCCCCCCCCCCCCCCCCCCCCCCCCCCCCCCCCCCCCCCCCCCCCCCC